GTTTTGAGACGGGCACGTTCGCAAGCAGCTGACTTTATTTGCAATATGGAAATATTTTTCATTACCTTGTCTCCGGCCAAACGCCCAACGCCCCCGCCTGCCGTCCGCCGCCAAGCTCCTGTCAATCTTTGGCTGTCAAGTCTCCTGGCTGCCTCGCTGGTTGCCCTGGGTGTAGCCTTGTATCTCTGCATCCGCATCTGCACTGCTTGTGGTTCCCGATGTGGATGTGGATGTGGCGCGCTTGTCTTGGCATATTTTATGGCAATATTTTTGATATTCCGTGTTAGTCGCTCAGCCACTTATATGCCAATTTTGCAGCCAAAGTTGGGTGAAGTGAAGCGAAACTTACATTGTACTTGCGGATGGCTTTAACTTTTGATGAAAGTTTAGGCTTTGCCTTTGTAGTGCAACGAATAAAAAAAATCCTAAAACGCAGTTCTATTTACAATTCATTGCTTTTAGATAAGGAATTTTAAAACCCTTCAAGGTCCAGATACTAGTAAGTATTTTTATTTTAATGCCAGGACCGCATAACCCAATGTTATGCCAGCTTTATCCAACTTAACCAACTTTTCCTGTTGGCCATCCGGGCACTTCAGACAACAACCATGACCATATGCCAATCCATCGATCCCAGCTAATGGCCACTCGACCCGCAATGACTCCACTCGAAGCGACTCTGGTGTTTGCTCTCTCCTGCCTTTGCCGGCGGGTACGGATGCGGATGCGGATCTGTGTCAAGAGTGAAAGCCACAATTGAGCAACTGAGAGTTGATTGAGCCATTCACACACACATTCAGCGTAGAGTACACATATGGAGCATTGAAGGGTATGCCAATGTGCCCGAAATACACTTCTATCTGCCAGATACGTGCGGCATTAGCGATAATCCAAAGTTTGCCAGATTGCGCTTATGCCACTCGCTTAAATTGAATTGCCACGGCGCTGAGGCAGCGACTTTTAATGCGTTCCATGCAAATAACGCTCCTGGGTCCTGGGTTGCCTCTCCGACCGCCGGGCACGGACAACAATTACGCGCATTATCCTTTCGACTGGACTCGGAGTCGGAGTCGGACACAGACACGGGCACGGACACGGACACCAATCCCGGATCAGGACGATAACACGGCGTTTGCTTAAACAAGCATAAATGCGAAACGCTAAAAGGACACTAAAAAAGAAATGGACGTAAGAAATAGGGAGTTCTAGCAACGAATTTGAAATACACTTGAAAGTCACAGATTGTCGAAAGCTAAGACAAGGCACTTCTCTTCTGCTGGTCTAAGAAAATTATTTATTCTAAAATCACTTCATCTAATACATATATAAAATTAAGTAGCTACATTTCGGCTAAGAATCCCTGATAAAGTTTCCTAAAGAGAACTTGCAAGGTAAGCCTTAACCTTTTTTAGTTACAGCAGGCAAGACCTGGGGCAGTGTATCCGAAAAAGTACTCCGCCATTTTAATTTGGCTAAGTAGCAGTCAGTGACAGGCAGTGTACAAGGATCGGAGTACCTTGTTAGTGGGTACAATCTGGACTCGACCTTGCGATACCCTGTGTACCCAGGGGAATTAAGCTTAATTTTCGGCTCAGTGAAATGGCCATGAAGCTCTTCTTGGCTTCCCAGCTACCCAGCCTTGGGTGTGTGCTGAAAAAAAACGCTAATTTAATTTTAACTTTGTGCAGCCTTTTACTCGGCTCTTCTCTGCTTCTTTCGGCTACATCTACACGCCATACATATTATATATTATTATACATATATATATATATAGCCCTCCGTCGTCCAGTGTTTGATTTCGTTGTGAGCGTCGTTGGCACACTTTCTTGGGGAGGTGGAAAGTTAAAGAAGAAAAGGACCTGGTGGGCAGAAATAATACGAAAGAGTAAAAGTAAAATATTTGTCCTGCCACGGCTATTGCAAGTGAGCAGCGCTGATTGCGGCACTAAAACGGAACGAGTTCTTGTGCGGCGATAAGATTTGCCCAGCCCTTCGCCCTTCGCAGTCCCCCAAGGACCCCCGACTTAATCGCTCCGAAGTTCGGCCATCTCCGGTCTAATGTGCTTGCCAAAAGTTTTGGGCCCGGCTGAAAGGCAGTTGGCAGTTGGCACCTCGCTCGGCTTTGCCGTTATTTACGCAGCCACGCCTGAACCTGACAATCAACAGCAATTTGCCGCAGCTCCTGGCCAACTCCGCACTCGGTGCTCCCACCCGCATCCGCAATCCACATCCGCATCCTTATTCTTATTCACAAAGCATCCGATAAGCATAACAGTTGTCGTCGTGCCGCCAGCAAACACCTTAGGTTTTATAATATTTCGGGGTGGATTCGGGACGTTTTGTAGATATGGAAAAATAACACCGACACTTTATTGAAATAGATATTTGGTAAAACAATTTAAGGCTTATGAAATATGGACATTTTACAAAATAAAGATCACTATCTAGGAGGTTGCTTATACCAATAAATTGATGTATTCACTTCTCAATAAATCAAAGTCATGTAGACACAATTATTTTTCCCAGTGTCCCTTTGAGCCCGGCTAGTGGGTGGCAGGGTGGCGGACGAAGGTGAGGAGCTGCCAACAAATCGTCGCCAGATGGCGGCAACAATAAAACGTTTTACAATGTAACCGAGGCGACGACAAGGAGTAGGGCAAGAAGCGGCCTCTTTGGATCCAGAACCAGGACGCACGACCCTTGTATGGCCATGTGTGGACATCAATGTGCAACAAAGTTCATAATTGTTTATGGCACTGGCCGTCTATTTGATTTTTATGTTTATGGCTAAGAGTCATGGAGCAGAGTGAGCTTCTGAGAAGGCACCATGTCTGGTAAGAGCCCTCACTAACCAGAACTTCTCTTATCAACTTTTATAAGAAAATAGGATTGATGATTCTGAAAGTACGTTTAATAAACAAAACCACCGAAATTGGTTGGCATATTCGAGCCACCATTGAGCTACTCGGTGCTCTAATCACAGAAATGTATAAATTTTCCCGATCGGATGTAAATTGACGGAGCTGTGCTAATCGGAAGGGAGCAAAATGGGGAAAATCGACATTTCAGGATTTTCAAGGGGTACCCCTTGGAAAAAATTCGAAAAATTTAAAAACCGTATTAAAGATGAGTCTTGTATTAGGGATTAAGCTACTCGGTGCTCTAATCACAGAAATGTATAAATTTTCCCGATCGGATGTAAATTGACGGAGCTGTGCAAATCGGAAGGGAGCAAAATAGAGAAAATCGGAATTTCATGATTTTCAAGGGGTACCCCTTGGAAAAAATTCAAAAAATTTAAAAACCGTATTAATGAAAGGTCTTGTATAAGGGATTAAGCTACTCGGTGCTCCATTCACAGAAATGTATATATTTTCCTTCCTATGTATATATTTCCTATATTTTCCTTCCTATTCTTCCGATATTTTGCAAATCGGAAGGGAGCAAAATAGAGAAAATCGGAATTTCATGATTTTCAAGGGGTACCCCTTGGAAAAAATTCAAAAAATTTAAAAACCGTATTAATGAAAGGTCTTGTATAAGGGATTAAGCTACTCGGTGCTCCATTCACAGAAATGTATATATTTTCCTTCCTATGTATATATTTCCTATATTTTCCTTCCTATTCTTCCGATATTTTGCAAATCGGAAGGGAGCAAAATAGAGAAAATCGGAATTTCATGATTTTCAAGGGGTACCCCTTGGAAAAAATTCAAAAAATTTAAAAACCGTATTAATGAAAGGTCTTGTATAAGGGATTAAGCTACTCGGTGCTCCATTCACAGAAATGTATATATTTTCCCGATCGGATGTAAATTGACGGAGCTGTGCTAATCGGAAGGAAGCAAAATGGAGAAACTCGAAATTTCAGGATTTTCAAGGGGTACCCCTTGGTAAAAATTCGAAAAATTTAAAAACCGTATTTAGGTAAGGTCTTGTATAAGGGATTAAGCTACTCGGTGCTCCATTCACAGAAATGTATATATTTTCCTGATCGGATGTAAATTGACGGAGCTGTGCTAATCGGAAGGGAGCAAAATGGACAAAATCGGAATTTCAGAATTTTCAAGGGGTACCCCTTGGAAAAAATTCGAAAAATTTTAAAATTGTATTTAACAAAGGCCTTGTATAAGGGATTAAGCTACTCGGTGCTCTAATCACAGAAATGTATATATTTTCCCGATCGGATGTAAATTGAAGGAGCTGTGCTAGTCGGAAGGAAGAAAAATAAAGAAAATCGGAATTTCAGGATTTTCAAGGGGTTCCTCTTGGAAAAACTTGGTTCTTTTCGAAACTATTTATTAAAGCCAGCTTTAAGTTCCTCTTTTAATATCGTATATGCGCAGGGGGTGAATTTTCAGACCGTTTCGTGCCCAGCCCTCCTATTACAACTTGGTGACTTCATTATATTGAAACTTTGACGTCGTTATTTTGCATAATTTACGCCACGCTTGAATGCAGCATCCAAGTATACATCTATGACTACGGTTGCTGGAATGGCTGGAAAATTGTGGGGCACAGCAGAACGTTGGCCCAAGGGGAAAGTAGAGGGGCAGTGGGAGGAGTGTGCGTGTCGGTTGTCAAAGCTACCTTGGCACATGCGAAACGTGAACTTCAAGACATCGAGTTAATGATTCGCACTTGTTGTTACCACTTGCCACGCCTCCGATTCCTAATGAAGTTGATTTATGGCGTTGCAAGGCGTCTTTGGTATGATTTTATCCGTTTCCTTCCATCATTTGTCGTGTCTCGCTTCCCGTTCACTGAACTCTGAATGGATAAAAATAGCTGCATTGTAGCATCTGCATCTGCTGCGCTAGTTCCGTTAGATCGAACTATTTCCTCGACGTCTATAAATAAAGTGCCACTACTTCGCCCCTACCCATAGACATCCCCATCCCTAATCCCACCCCCACTCCCATCCGTTCGATTTTATTCCGTTTTGGACACGAGTCTGCGATCGTAAGGCATCCAGGATATATAAATAGAAATGGGGAAAAGTAGGGTGGCCCGGAAGACTGGGAGCCCCGATTCCCCGTCAGTCAGTTCTGGAGCACGATGGAGTGCAGAGCTGTTCCCGTTCTTCCCACCTACTCGCAAGCCTGGTTTGTAAACAAATTATAATAAATTTACTATTCTATACTGTTAATAATAGTTATAATTCTTACTTTATTTTATTGATGAGTGATTTAAATTGCAAATTCCAGTGGCTCCACCCCTCTTCCTCGAAAGCAATCCCTGTGCCGGACTCTCTTCGACTACGGACCTCTTAACGATCCAGTGATTATCCTCATCACACTAGCCGTGGTCGTTGGATCCTTTTGCCTGCTTAGTGGCTTTATCCTGCTCTGTATGGTGTCGAAGGCGTGGCAGGATGAGACCTCCGAAGCAATACTGCTTATGGGTAAGAGGGAAGATCTGTCCAGGTGTAACAGGTACAATAAAAATCCTTTGTTCCAGCTATAGGATTTTTCATAACTGCCCTGTCGTGTGTCTCCTGGAAATTGACGCGGGTCCAGAGAATCGCCCAAATGGTAGAGGACCAACTGGCTTAAACTATACAAAATTTGTACAAATCATTAATTTAAAATTAACAATTAACCTATTAAATTATTTATTCAAACCAATTTTTTCGTTTCAATTAAAAACAGTTTAAATATTCCGCCAATCCGCGCGAACTTTGGTGTTGAAAAATATTGAAAGGAACTTTGTAAGTTTAAAAAAAAAGCTTGGAAAAGCTCGCAATCGAACAAAACACAACAAAAATGTTTGATGGAGCTTAGAATCGAACAAAACACAGCAAAAATGTTTGAAATGAACCTGTTGAAAATTTTTTAGCAGCTGAGGTTGAATATAATATATATATTTGTATATACACCATGACACCATGACACCATGAAAGATACCTTTAGTTTTTTCACCAGGTTAGAAGCTTTTAGTGCAGACCCAGGAGTGCTTATAGAAGTCTAGAGATGTCACCGAGATTTAGAACAGAACTCTGCCCCAAAAGGGGAACCCCAAGAAGTATGAGTTTTGGCGCGTAATTTTGAAATACTGGTGTCCTTAGGCGAATCGATAGATCCAATATTTCACTGCATAAATTTTTACTTTTGATTGATGGATGATTCGATGCGTTTTTAAATCAGCACAGCACCATATTGATATTAGTATCTGCCTATGTATATCTTCCCTCTATGTGAAAACTGAAACTTCTAAATAATATAGAAAAGAAAAGGTAGGGATCGTCTATTGTTTCCTAGGTAGTCCTGATCTACCCCGACAGCTGTGGCGGGAAAATGTGGATGCAGCTGCCGGCAAGGTCTACCTGAGGCTGATCGCTTTCCTTCGAGTGCAGACAGCTCAGTCGGAAAAGAGAGCTCCTTGAAGAATGCCGTTTTTGCAGCCACATTTTCGCAACCATTGGTCGCCCGTTTCCCAGTGGAAAATCTGCCGCAGTTTATGGCGTTGTTGCAGGCAACTTTGTCACAGTGCCAAGTTCCGTCATTATTTGAGGTAAGTTCCCGGGAGAAAAGCAAATATAATCAATGAAAATATATATCATTTTATTCTAGGCTTCTCGAGTCAAGTCTGTGCCAGGTCTAAGTCATCGAATCGCCAGATGTGGAGCAAATTTGCAATCTGCGCACGTAGACGCCTCCAAAATGTTTTAGCTGAATTCCATTCTGGCTCCAAAAGCCAGAGAACCAGTCAACGATCTTAACTCTGCTCCGAAAGTGCTTACTTGCTTGTTGTTTTGTTTTTATTTATAAATATTTTGTGGCATCGTTAAGAATGCTGTGGTGCAGGGATGACGCCCGTCTGGGCATTACCATTCACGGTTAACTGGGAAACTACCCGACTCCAGTACACTGACTTGGGGAAAACACATCGCTCTCGGGGCGGCCATAAAATCCGCCAGCCTCTGGGCCGAGAGCTCAGTCTCGTTCTAATCCCAGACCCGCCAAGATTGTTAATTGCCAGAGCATGGAGAACACCGGACTGATTCGCTTGAGAACCACGATGCAGATGCTTTTCGCCGCCAGCCTGCTCATCCTGATGACCGCCATTTACCACGACGACAACGATTCCGGATCGCACTACATCCACCCCCGGCACAGTATGCAGTTTGGCTAACCCGCCGGTGACCTAGAACCCCCCAGAACCCCATACTAAGACGCTTAGAATAACCGGTTGCCAGTTCGACGACATGTCGGAAGGTAAATGTACCGCATATGGGATTGCCGCGGCCGGCCGTTCCGCAAATAGTACCCACAAGTCATTAATAAGTTAGTGTAATAGTTACTAATAAATTGATATTATCGGAATCTCAGGTGTTATGAATTTTACAAAGCGACAATGAGGAATCAATGGGGAATCTGCTTAGACATGGAGTATACCCACTCACCTCTAGAGAGTGGGAGGGGCCTCTGGAAACTGATTAGCGAAGATTCATCTCACAAAACGGGTTGTATAGTTAATCGCATCGTTTTGTTTATAAAAAAAAATATCGTAATTACCCCAGCACGTGTCTGCCGGCATGACTTTATTCCGATACGTTAGGGGCCTGACACACTTTATTTAGCAGTCTGACCTTTGCTAACAACCATCGATTGGAGATATTGAAAAACACAGTGTTTGTTTTCGTGCCAACTGGTTTCTGGAACATTTCAAATGTTTATGACATCTGTTTGTGTTTTTAAAAATGGCAAGCTTTTTTTGCCAGCCCATTAAACGTAATATAAAACCACACTTTGATAAGCCATGCCCTTAAAATAATATATATTATTATAATGTATTCAGCTACCGATGGGGCTTTAGAGATTATTGTTTCGTGATGGGTTTCTTTTTTTTCTGCGCTCCCAGAACCCCGGAATCCGGAATCCATCATCTTAACAAAATTTTAAAAATGTCAAGCATCTACAAATTATAGCTTTTTTGAGGAGGTATCATAAAGGATTCCTCATTTTTGGATTTTCATATCGCTACTTGAGGTTCCAGTGAAAAAATATACAACTTTCATTTTTTTTTTTCAAAATTTTTCTATTTTTAATAGTTTTGAAATTTTGTAGATGAAATTTGTCGCTGATATGAGAGTATGAGGTTTGTTTCTCCTGGTAATATGGCAAGCTACCTCTTAGGGTAGAGTTAAGGACCCTATGGAACCCCTTTCTCGAAACCTATTAGAGAGGCCTATATTTCGGTAGGCGTATACTTCATTGCCACCTTATAGATCCAATCGCCATGGCTATTGACGTCCGTAACAATGTTTGTATGCTCGCACATGAGATCGCTGTAGCTAATAATACCGATTTGGACGAATTTCGTTGATCCCCCTTCCAAGGGGTTTTCTATCTCACCGACCACCGGACCACCGGAATCGCCGTTGCACATTTGGCTGTTTGGTGCTCGACCGGTTACGCAGATCTGGCTGGGGGACAGAGTCCGGTTGTATTTTAAGGCGCAGTCCTGTTCATGGGTGCGCTTCATGGTCAAAGTCTGAAGGATACGACTGGTTTTATTATTAGGGCCAGTCTCTCCCCAGCCAACGGCTCTCAGGGAAGAAGCAGCGTCCACCGCTTGCTTCTGTCCAGGGTCCAGGACCACACAGATGGGTTGGATGTAGTCTATGAACAGAGTTGGGTTTGAATAAGAACTGGAATATTGTAGGTCTATCAGGAGGCACCTGTGTATACCACTCTCCGTTCCAGGAGCAACATGGCGATGTCGTTCTCGTGGGTGTCCTTGTTGAAGTAGGCATGTGTAAAGGACTTGATCACATCGTAGTCGACGGCTTCGTCGTCATAGATGTCTCGATTGTACTCGCCCAATCGCACAATGCTGTAATGATTCTTATAAATGTCTGCACTGAAACAAAGGATTTGAAACACTTACTACTGTTTTTCATCCGATAAGTAGTGCGCCGCCGTCAACACGAACCCTAAAAAAAATGTATGAATTAAAAGCACCGAACGACCAAGAGGCACGAGTCCACATACATGGTGTTATCAGCGATCCCCCACAGAGGAATCCCAAAGGCTTGGCGGCCAGAACCATAGCCATCCAAGGATTGCCAAGCTCCATTGCGTCCTTGCCACCAGCAATTCTATTCCCCATGTTGGCGGGATCTCCGCAATTCTCTTCAAGAAGCGGGGGAGGAGTTGCTCCGACATAAGCGAGGACGGTAATCCAGACAAGTAAGCACTTCATTTCGACTATAATGCTCTCCAGCTACTGATCCGTCTTCAGATGGAACAGAGCTTTTAAAAGCAGAGCTCTTATCACTAATTCCTTAGTTATCAGCTAATGAGTTCTTGGGAAACCATTAAATTTGGGAAATCTGCTGCCTCGATTCTGAGAAGTACATATATGCTTGTTGCTTAAACTTTAAAGAAATAGTATTATTTTTTATTTGAAATATATTTTATTTTTTACACTTAGCTACATTGCCTCGCTTAATACAGTTGGAAAGTATGGTGTAAGTATGGCCTTAGACATGTCCTCCAGGAGATCTTGGTAGAATGAGCCCGGCCCACGACTTTTCTGGTCATTCTGGAGAAGCCCCATAAAAGCTATGCCCAAACCTATCTTTTATTAGAGTATGATGTTCCCGAGAGTAAAACTAATCCTTTTGAGGAACCTAATCTTCTTTAATCACCTTCAAATCCCAGTTCTTGTAAATAAAATTATTTCAGTTTCACCTCCATTTATTGGTTCCTGCGAACATATAGATCCGGGGATAGATTTAATTCTACCAAAGTAACTGGCATGGGAATGACATTTTAATATCCGTATTCCTGCGATTTAGGATCCCTACTCGTCACAACTTTCTGAATCCACGGGGAAAAGCTTAAGACGTCCGTGAAGATGCGTGTGTCCCCGAAGTCGTGCTGATTGTAGCTTCCTATACCCAACTGGATGACACGCACAACACCGTTAAGGACTACCTTCCGGTAGAGGGCACCTCCAGCAGGTCCCTCCATAGTCACAGGATTAGGATTCTTAGCGCAGAACTGGCTGGAGATCAACGCTTCTCCTGTTTTCTCTGTGCAAACAGAGCTGTTCACCCGCTGCATAAATATGGGTCGGAGGTCATGAGTTGAGAACTGAAACTGGGGTACCCGCCAACCAGTGCCAATAAACTCATTAGCTTCAACCTCTAGGGGCGGCAACAAAATGCAGATCGGCTTGATGTGGTCTGGAGACAATATATAAGAACTTGTAGGTCAAGTCATTGAGAAAACTATCGAGGAGTCGGGTTACCTTTATATTGAACTGGGTGGGTCAGTTTTACAAGAGCAATATCGTTGGACAGAGTTCGGTTGTTGTAACTTCTCTTCTGTAATATGTGTGCAACATCATGATCCTCTGGCATCAAGCCGGGAACGCTGCCACTATTGCCCAAGCGAGCTTTTCTGAAAAAGGATTAAGTTCTAGTATTATTCCTAAAAATAATAATTTAAGGTTACTTACATTCCTTTCGCGGAACAGTGCGCGGCAGTCAAAATAAAACCTGGGAAAGAAATCTTGAATCAATAGATTAGGTAGCTAATAGGTAGTTATCTTACTCTGGCTGATCAGTGATCCGGCACAGACAATACTTTGATTGACGTGGAGAAAGGCTACCCATGGCCCTAGTGAATCATCTGTCTGCCCAAGCCCCGAAATCCCGCAATTGTCGTCTAGAAGTCGAGCCCACGTCGACTCCGGACGGAACATTAGCAGTCCGGCGAAGAAAATTATCGCCGCTCTCATTGCGATCAGATTTATACTGAATATTACTCTGATGAAAGATTGAAATTTATACTCATTAGCGATTGGAAGCCATATGTTCATACATATCAGTCTCTTTGCGAGATCGCAGGGTCACGGAACTTTGGCAGAATGTCGGCGAAAGCCGCTCTAAATCCATCTTCTCTCTGGAAGGCCCCGTACATATTTTAAATAATATAAATATACATATGAAAATATAGAATCTCTTGGAATTCCCAATCTTTCTGTAGTAATACTCATAGTTGGTTATCAGTGGAAATGACACATCAAGCTTATGTTTTAAATCGGCATTATATTTTCAGAGAATATTTCTTTTCATAGCACTCCAGAGATTGGGGTGAATTGGGTCTGGAGGGCGGTTTTTACTCCACCCTCGCCCGGAACGGGCACCCAAAAAACCGGGTCAAACACTAGCCAGGATGTCATGGCAACACAGCCAATAATTTCCTGGAGAGGGTGTGGTTTTTTTTTACTTTTCGTAAACAAAGCAATCCTGGCAGAAAGTGCCGGACTTCAAGCGAGAATAAAGCTGAAAGAAATGAGTACGCGGAATCTAATGATCACGGATCTGGACCATCCGGATCCGGAGCAACAGCCGAAGCGAAACCGTAAGGTCCTGCAGACCCTGTCTGGCAACTTCAATCGTCGGTCGCGTAGCGTGGAGGTCGAAGTAAAGCAGCGTCCGGAACTGCAACCACCCAAGGATCGGAAAAAAGATCGATCCTCATTGGTATGGAACCCTATGACCCTTTCCCTCAATTCCAATCAATAACATTTCCTTTAGCTTCAGGCCAAGGAACAGCAGCTGGAGCAGCTCCTCCAAAGGCTGGCCACCCTGCATCGCTACAACGACCAGTTTGCCAAGGAGAACGAGCAGCTGCGGACTGACAGCTCCGAATTGGAGCGGCGCCTGGCCGAAGCCGAGCAGCGGGTGGCTAACTGCGCCCGCTGCCAGCAGTTGGGACAGCGCTTGGACACAGTTCTAGGACAGAACCGATCACTGGGCGACGACGTGGACATGTTAAAAACCTTGGTCTTTCGGTTAAATGTCCAAATAGAGAATTACCAGGATCAGCGACGCCACGGTGAAGAAGCGCCTCCACCAGGTGGTGCTCCAACAGCGTCGACTACTTCCACTTCCTGCCCGCCACTACCCACCCACACACTGGGACCTCTGCTGCAGGCCTACGACGAATCCCTGAGGGACAAAAATGCGCTGCTGGCACAGTACAACACTGAGTTTGAGCACTTTACGGGGGAGCTGAAGCGAGCTCTGGAGGAGAACACCAAGCTGGTAAGTCCATCCTTTAAATATCAGCGCAGTCTAACTAATCCCTTATCTCTTCCAGCTCCAGACGCAAGAGCAACTACGACGAGACCTCGGCGGCTGGCGAGAGGAACGTGTCTGCCTCCAGGCTCAGCTCGGAGTATGCCGCTCCAAAGCAGAAGCTCAGACCCGCAAGACCGACCTGGCTAAGGAGAAGCTGGTGGAGGTGATGCACTGCTACGAGCAGCGCACCCAAACCCTGCTCTTGGACATGGACCACCTGCAGGCGGCCTATGCCCGCACAAAGTCGGAATTGGCTGCTCTGAAAAGTGCTCCGCCTCCTGCTCCTGTTCAAATTCCTGTACCTCCCCCTCCAGCTGCGCCTGTCGAGTCAGAGGCTGTGGTCCAGTGCAAAGCCCTCCTTGAGCAACTCCGGAAGGAGCACGCAAGGGAGCGAGCCTCTCTTCAGGAGCAACTGCAGGCCACCAACGCCCGAGCAGTTTCCTTGGCCCGCAGCACAGAGAAGGCTAAACACGGACGGGATCGACTGAAGGCACGGCTACGAATGGCATTGCAGTGGGCTCAGAAGCTGGAAGCGGGCCAGGCGGAGGTGCAGGACACCTACGAGGTAGTTCGCCGTCTAGAGGTTCTCGTCCAGCACAAGGAGTCCCAGCTGCGGGGACTGCATGCTCGGAATGCCGAGGAGATGGATAAGCTGCGGCACAAGCTGCAGCAAAAGGACGAAACGATTAAGACACTTCTTCGGGGCAAAATGGAACGGAGGCCAGCAGTGGACTAGTTTTAAGTAAAAATAAATAACAATTAAAAATATATAATTTCAATACAAAATACATTAATAACCTAAGATTAGAAAGCTTTTGAAGCACAGCAGTCGGGATCAGCCGGACTCCACCGATCCACCGGCCAGGGTGTCGTCCGCAGACGGCACTCCCGTACCGTATTCGAAGCCATTTCCCGATCCAGAGGATCCTGCGCACACCACGCAAGCCTTGGGCACCGTCTGCTCTATGTACATGGTGATCCGCTCCAGAACCTCCGGCACCACGGAACGCATTAGCTGCTCATAACGCTGTGCTCCCAACTGTGCTTGCAGCGACTGCAGCTGCCACTTGAGGTATTCGGTCAGGGGTATCTTGTAGACGGGGTCCTTCAACACCAGCTGCCGGTGGCGATCGTCGTGGTAAGTCTTGGCCGAATAGCCCTTGGAGTGAAAGTCCTCGCCGCCGGATCCCAGTTGTTGCTGCAGATCGTCCAGCTCGTGTTCGTCATGAATGACCAGAGAATCATAGAAGCGTGGGGTGGTCTTAGCGGCTCCCTCCTCTGCGACGGCATACTGTTTGTCCATCACCTCGCCGAGAGTTTCGTCAACCAATTGGAGTATGTGCGGTAGGCGGGCAAGTAGAAGCTCGTTGCTGCCAAAGATCGATGCAAAGGCCAAGCAGAAAAGCTTTCGTTTCTCGGCATGGGTGTCCGGGACCATGGGGAACATCTCAATCCATACGTCCAGGATACGGGCCAGGGCATCCGCCTGCGTCAACTCCTGCACGACGGACATGAAGACAGTCTGGTCTATGAGCAGGGTGCGGGCCACGATGGTTAGATACCAGCCCATAGTCATGGGATATTCCTGTTTCAGGCACACCTGCTGAAAGACGAACGGGAGGGCCGGCCGCACCAGACGCAGTCCCATCGCCGCATCCGTCTTCAGACACGTCTCGAATATCCGCAGCATGGCGATAATACCCTCCACCCGTATGTCCTCGAAGGAGCGAACACAGAAGGCTACAAAACTTTCCCCGTAACGACTTAGATAGGCCTGGGCATCTAGAAGTATGTAGGCGTGGATCAATTGCAGAACCGTACGCATGTTTTCCGATGACATTTCTATGATGGGAAGCAGGTGGTCACACAGAGCCAATAGCTCGGGTGTCAGAGCCGTGGAGTTCCCAATCACAGCCAGCCAGAGCATGATGCCATCCTCGATGAGGTAGACGTGTGAGTGTTGCTGTGGGGAGAAGCATGGGATTACAACTCTTATTTGAACATGAGATCACCAGAAGTTCAAAGCTCACCTGAAGATCTGTGCTCAGCTTAATGACGCTGTAGAGGAAGGGCTTCATGGGTTCTGGGACATCTCGGATGGTGCGTACAAGCTGCTCCAGTGTGCCAATGATAGCGCAACGCAACAGATCGTATTCCTCACTTTCGCGCCACAGCATTGGCAGGTAGGCAATGAACTGCAAAGCCTGTGGCTCGATATACTCGCTCATCTTCTCTACGAGCAGAGTCATGGTGCCCAGCACCACGATTTTGGTGTCACACTCCTCGGCTTCATGAAGTAACATAAAGAGAGCCTCGAAAAGGGAGGGAAAGTATGGATGGAACGCCTCAGGCATAAATTCAAAGTCGTCGATCAGAAGATTCAGGGTGCGGGCGGCGGCCAATCGGGTGGGCATGTCCTCCTGGCGTCGGAGGAGATGCAGGCATGCTTCATAGGCCACTGGGCGGAGTTCGCGGGGCAGCTGCACGCCCACCCAGTTTCCGACAAGCCAAATGATTCGTCTTCGCAGGATGCGGAAGTTCGGAGCCTCTATGCGGAGCTCCGCCAATAGTTGCGAGGTCAGCCAGGCCCCAAAGTCCAGCTTGTTAAAAAAATGAAAGGCAGCTTGACCCACCGCGTTGTAGATAGCGTCCTTCAACAGGATGGCCTTTAAATCTGAGTCTGCAGTCAGCTGGAGCTGCTGAGCGCGGCGAACAAAGCGCAACACCTCCTGAACCATCACTTGCGAGTGCTGCGTGAAGCAGGTGAAGTACAAAGTCTCCACACTGGGCCTGAGGGCATATTTCCAGGCATCGCCACCGCCATCGTCCTGGTCATAGCCTTCTGGATCCTGCTGCCACTCCTCCAGTTCCTGTTGCGTTAGAAGAAAATAGTGGGTTACAATTTTCTCGCAGATATAGGTCACTCTCTCCGCCGTAAAGAACTTGGCATGACTCTGGGCTGCTCCAGCCAGCAACTCATCCTCTAACGACATTCCTGGCAAGCCATCTGCTGGGGCACTGATTGTGTCATTGCCGCTTAGCATAATGCCCTTCAGCATGTTCAGGGCCTGGATGGCGAACGTGCTAAAGTTCATCCGGTCACCAGCGTCAAAAATCAACGCTGTGCCTTCGTGGAACACATAATGGAAACTGAACTCTAGGGCCACGGGAACGAATCTGGCAAAAGATATTGAATGGCGCTCCATCACCTCGTTGAGAGTCTTCATCATTTTCAGAATAAATCGTTCCAGTTCGGTGAGTATAGTTGATGTTACGGGCGTCACGGAGCCAATCCTCAGTTCATAGCGCAATTCCAGGCACTGCCGTAGTCGTTGAAAGAGTTGTTCTATAAAGTTCATGTGGTCTGTAGACTTGTACGGCTTGGCACAGCCATAGACTACTAGCTTTCGCAGTGATCTCATCACCACATAGCTCCGTTGGAGTGCACTGAGAGCAACGGACTCTTCTTTTCGTACAAACTGGAGGAAGCGAGCGGTCAATGGAGACCAAATATCCCAAGCCAAGTAGCTGAAGATCTGGGAACCCACTTCTTCAAAGGCCCTTTGCTCGGCCATCAGGCGGCGAGAGGCCAGTGCCTTCAGTACGTAATGCAGCACAACAAGAATGCGTTGTTGGAGCGCGCATTCCGCTCCAGAGTCCGCCTCGGTGCGGCAGGTTTGAAGCTGTTTTATTAGAGTCGGCAACAAATCCGGCCAGAAGCGGGGATAATCTGTGCGGGCTAGACGGCCCAGCAGCACTGCAACCTGAAGCGCCACTTGGGGCACTTCCTCCGCATCGTAATGCTGGATCAGTACGTCGCGAATCTGCTGCTTTTGCTCCGCCGGCAGCTCCTGCCGTGAGTTGGGTCTCCAGTAGCGCTCCACTCCATTCTTAAGGTAGACTGCTGCCATCCAGCGCACCTTGACCTCAGCGTCGGAAGCAGCGTCCGCCTCACTACGCGACTGTCGCCGCATGCTCAACCGAGCTATGGTTGGGAAAAAACCCGGTTGCTGCTCCCACTCGCGAAGCTGGGCCTCCGCCTTTTGGACTATCTCGGGACTCGGGTTGGTGGCCGCTTGCAGGGTCTCCGCCACCAGCTGGTCCACCGTAGCCGCCGCTCCAGTTGCCATAGCCATTGCCCTCTTCCTCTTTAATTAGCGGAGGGCAGTTGCGAAAATTATTGGCAAAATTCTGCGGCGCGTGCTGCTTCTTGCAAGTGGTCAGTGTTGCCAAGTGCCATTTTGGATTTCCACCCAAATGTATCGGCAAGCTCTTAAAGGATTCATAGTGGAAACCTTTTAACTTAATTATTATTAATCTATATTTTCTCTTAATATAAAAATAAAAAGTTCAGTAACATTTTTCAAAGAGACTAGGAAGATTTTATAAAATTCAAAAATTTATTAATCGGCGTAATTTTTTTTATGTTTTTTACCAGACCAAAAACTTCTCTCACCAATAACATAAAATTTCTTTATTCTAACTTAATTTTGTTCTAAGAAATGAATACTACATTTTTAATCTATTTTAAAATTACAATTTTATTTTAATTCTATTCTATTTTAAATTAAAAATTCCCTAAATAACAAATATTCTCACAATCTATCGATGTTTTTAAAATATGTCAATGTATCGATTGCAAATTAAATTGAACTTTTTTGGGGACTTAAACATATTTAAATATATCTATGAATTTTTAAGTATCGTTTTGTGTTTTTATTTTAGAAAATATTTAACGTTACGGGCTAGAAATTATTTGATGGCTAGAGGAAAAACGCTAAAGTTAGCCTGAAAAATGGTAAGCTGGCAACACTGTTCGTGTCATGTGATAGAGAGCAGCTGACATAAAGATTTTACCTTTACAGAGCTTTTATTTTCGCTGTCACTTTGCTGTCCTGAAAATCCGAAAAACTCCACAGAAAAGATGGCTCTGCACTCCGCAATCAAGGGAAAATTGATCAGCGTGATCGGTGATGAGGACACTTGCGTGGGCTTCCTCTTGGGTGGCGTCGGAGAGATCAATAAGAACCGTCACCCCAACTTTATGGTCGTGGACAAAAACACTGCCGTGAGCGAGATTGAGGACTGTTTCAAGCGTTTCCTTAAGCGCGACGACATCGACATCATCCTAATCAATCAGAACTGCGCCGAGCTTATCCGCCATGTGATCGACGCCCATACTTCTCCAGTTCCTGCCGTACTGGAGATTCCCTCCAAGGATCACCCATACGACGCCAGCAAGGACTCCATCCTGAGGCGTGCCCGTGGCATGTTCAACCCGGAGGATCTGGTGCGCTAATTTGGAGATTCCCATTTAGCCATCAGCTGCCACCGTCAGAGTATTGCTTTCCATGTTAATTCCCCCAATGTATCTATAGATTCAATGCTTTGGTTTTGTTCTAATTGTGTATTTAAAAACATATATTGAATGGTTTTTGTTGAATAAATATAGTTTAAATAATGAACCCCTTGAAAAAATCAATAAAAGTGAAGATGCCTTTGGCCAATTGGAGTAGCTGCGGGCTTGGAGAATACGGAAAATAAATACGGAGTTGGAAAGTATTTGGAACTTGCCAACCTAAAGAACCTTGCCCACAGTTGACCAACAAGACCATAAACTATAATTGATTAATTCAATAATCCAAATATTAAAACAAACCCAATAGAAGTTTTAATAACAAAGCGACCATTCACAATAGATGGCCAACTTTAATCAACTATGTTAAGAGCTCTGTTAAGTTTATTATCATTAACAGTCTATGAGTTTCCGACGTTCATGCCATCCCCATAATTTTTCTTTAAATATATTCTTATTTTAAATATTATCATTAAATTATCTTAAGACAGTTTCTTATTACATATATGAAGTTTATTAGAATACGAGTCTTATCAAACTAGCATACTGTTGCGAACTTGGGTGCTGTTAGCGCAATCAGCTGTTTGAAAGAATAAACATTTTCTCGGTGGCAACGTAAACAGAAAAAGATATCCATTCCGCGAACTGATTGATCGGCATTAGTCACTTGTTTGAAACACGCACACTGGAAACGGGCCACCGAAATGCTCAAGGCCGTAATTTTGATCGGCGGGCCCCAAAAGGGCACCCGCTTTCGCCCACTGTCCCTGGACACACCCAAGCCACTGTTCCCGTTGGCTGGGCGTCCTTTGATTGCCCATCATATCGAGGCCTGTGCCCAGCTACCCGATCTGCGAGAAATCCTCATCATTGGCTACTATCCCCAGACCCAGATGGAGGGGTTCGTGAGCGATATGCAGGCCCTGTACAGCAGCAGTAATATAAACATCAGGTGATTGGTTCTTCAAAGCTAGACAGCTTAAGGAATCCCAATTGTGACGTGGCTCTACGTGGATTAAGTTCTAAAGTTCTTGTTTCCAACCTTAGTAAAAATATATTTTTTTCAGATACCTACAGGAGTTTACCGCTCTAGGAACGGCTGGAGGAATGTACCATTTTCGAGATCAAATCCGAACCGGGAATCCTCGAGCCTTTTTCGTACTAAACGGGGACGTTTGTGCTGATTTCCCGCTTCAGGAGCTGCGTGACTTCCACGAGAAGCGCCCATCCAGCGCTCTAGTGACTATCATGTCAACGGAGGCCACACGACAGCAATCGCTGCACTATGGATGTCTGGTTTTTGATCGCAACACTGGAGCTGTTTCGCATTACGTCGAGAAACCCAGCTCCTACGTATCAACTTTTATCAATTGCGGCGTGTATGTGTGCTCGATGGATATATTTACGGTGCTGGCGCAAATTTTCCATTCGAGAGGTCAGGAGTATGGCTGTCAGGGTTTTAGCAATGGAAATGGGAATGGCAATGGCAGAGAGCAAGGTCACATCAAGTGGGAGCAGGAAGTGCTCACACCACTGGCGGGGACTGATAAGCTCTTCGCCATGCCAGTGCCCAATTGGTGGTCCCAGCTGAAGACAGCTGGTTCGGCCATTTACGCTAATCGTCACTATTTGGGACTCTATAAGAAAACGCATCCGGAGAGGCTGGCCAACGTGGGCACCAAGCGAGGCGAAGGCGATGGTAGCCTGATCTGCACTGTACTACCCGATGTCTATGTCCATCCCAGTGCCACCGTTCACCACAGCGCAGTAGTATGTACTCATTGTGTATATTTACTTAACCGCTTTTAACGGTTTTTGTTTTCCCCAAGTTGGGTCCCAATGTTGCTATCGGACCGGGTGTTACCATTGGGCCTGGAGTTCGCATACGAGAGTCAATTGTCCTGGAACAGGCTCATATCCAGGATCATACATTAGTTTTGCACTCAATTGTGGGTCGTGGTTCCACGATCGGAGCTTGGGCCCGCGTGGAAGGCACTCCCAGTGACCCGGATCCAAATAAACCCTTCGCCAAAATGGAAAATCCACCGTTGTTCAACAACGAAGGAAAGCTTAACCCATCGATTACAATTTTGGGTAGGTTTAAAGATCTTTGGTTTTCAATAGAATTCAAGACCAAAAATCATAATTTTTGTTTCCAGGCTGTTTTGTGCAGGTTCCCGCCGAGAAAATACTGCTCAACAGCATCGTTTTGCCGCACAAGGAGCTGGGTCGCAGCTTCAAGAACGAGATCATCTTGTGAGGCGGCGATGATAACCGTGCCTTGCATTGGTCCCAATCCTTATCAGTATGCCATTTTATACGTTTCTATTGTGCAATATTTCCTAATTCCAACTATTAAATGTGTCCTTGCTTTTAAAATAAATGAGACTTGATTATGGGAAGGGGGGAGGGAATTCAAATTTTATTTTTGATATTATTGTGGCCTTATGGATCCAACTACGAATAAGAACTAAATGCACAAGGGTTAAAGTCTGATATCGATAAGGCCAACCTGTACGTGTCACGCGTGAGGCGCAGGTAAGCGGCCCACGCACACTCATGTGAATAGTCTCTCTCCTCTCTCGTTTAGACCAAAACGCGTTTACGTTCCTCAAGTATCAGCCAGTTAGTGGTCGTCGCCTGTTGCTTTTGCTTCGAGTCTCGTCCCATAAAAGCGGAATCTACGTGTTGTTATATTAATAAAATATTAATAAAAGAGGATTAAAGCTCGCCGAACATGATATTGGCCAAAAGGAAAAAGTAAACAGGTGAGTGGTGCATTCTACGTGGGCAGTTCTTTATTCCGTTTGGTAATTGAGCGAGCCAAGAAGAGGAAGAGCTGAGAGAAAATACAAATACAGGTAAACGACGCAGGTAACTTCAGTTGTGAGAGAGAGAGCGGGAGAGCGGTTTGTGCTCACTGAGCGGAACTGTCTTGCGCAGCGTGGGAAACTGAAAGGGATTGGGGGAGAAGAAGGGGGTCTCCTACTTACCCTCTCTCCCCCACCCCACACCTTGTAAGCCTAGCTTATCTGGCGGAGTTGCGCTCTTTCCGCCGCGTTGCCAACCACTGCCTATTGGCAAACACAGGCTTGGTTCATGTTGTTGTTGTTGTTGTTGTTATTATTTTTAGTATGTGCGTGCTGGAATCTTGTTTGGCTTGCCACCTGAGTTGTCTGTGTTGTTGCTCTCCCGTTAGGCTGAAAGCGCAGCTCTCTCTCTACCTTCGTGGTTACCTGCGTTTCGGTGTGGCGATCAGTTGTTTTTTCAACCTGAAGCGAAGTGGATGCGCGCCGTGGGTTCAAAAAAAAAAAAACTTTAGGCACACACACACAAACACACACCTATACACACGCACACCAAAAAAAGACAGAAACTAGAAAAAGACAACAAGACAAAAAGTGGTAGCAGCAACAGGCAAAAAGAAGCAACAAGTGACTTGTTTTTTGTTGTCATCTCATTTTCGAATCCAGTGGTGGTATTAAGAACATGAACTAGGCAATTGAACCAATCCACCAAGTTAAACAATTTTGAAAGCCTAGTACAGGTGTAGGACAGGTGTGTAGTGCGCGCGCGCCAAGGAAAAGAAAGTGCAATAAAATCGAAAATTGTGAAAAGCCAACAAGTGCAATGTATACAACGTGTTAAGAAAAAAAAAACGACGAAAATTAACAGAAAAACGGTTAAATCGAGAGAAAGAGAGTGAGCAGCCAAAACAGGAGAAGGTAAAGGTGAAAATAAAGAGCTGAAGATCACACTTACCAACCAACCACCTGTAGCATCCAGTACTATCCGGAGAGAGGCCATCAGGAGACTGAGAATCCGATTGAGAACTTTGTTCTCTTGTTGTTGTTGTAAGTGGCATTTAAAAACATCAAAAAAAAAAAAAAATGAATGAAATGGCCAACAATAACAACGGTTAAGACAAGAAGAAACAGCAAGCTGATGCGCTAAACAAAGTGAAAACAAATTTACAGTTAGAGAAATGGCTACGCGGTGAGAGAAAGAGAGCCAGACTTGTTCATAATACTCTGCTCGAAAGAGAGTCTCTCAGCTAGGTCTTTAAAATAAAAAATTGTAATGTAATGCTTTCTTGATTTAAATTTTGAAATTCTTTTGAAAGATAAGATAATAAAAAAAATGGTAAATTCATGCTGGTTAGTAAATGTTTTTTTGGAGGATCTACTTCCAGCTCAGTTTTTTTTTTTTGCGAATAACTTTGGCAATTGGCATTTCTCGACAGCAATTTGCGCAATCATAAGTTTCCTGTTGCTCCAACACCAGCTCCAACTACAATAACCACAAATAATGGCACACGCCAGCAGCAAGAAATAAAAATAAAAAACATATTTGCAAGCGGGAAAACTTGCGCAATTCATAATTTAATAACCAAGTCTCCACACAAAAAACTACAAAGTAAAATCTGCTCACTTTCTGGTTTACCAATCAGCAGCAGGCAGTAGGCAATTCATTAATTGCATTAGTAGTTTTGCTGAGCTCCTGTTGCGCCTGTCACTAATTCGAATTTAATCACCAAGTTTAAGGTATTATCTCTCAAAAGCGTAACGGCCCTCGGGTGGGAGGGATCTTCTTCCCAGAAAAAAACCAAATTAGTTAAAATAGAAAACTCTACTCTATCTATAGTTCATTTTAGCCAAGTTCAACTGTGTCTGCTCTTGGGGTTTCTTCTATTTAATGAAGACCCAACGCTTTCCCATTGTCTTTCTCGGCCATTCTTTATTTAGCTTAATTGGGCCCAGAGTGTATACCGTTATTCGTTAATGAAGGGAATATGTGTGCAAGAGGTGCAGCCATTTAACTATCCCATCAAATGTCCAACGAAAGTGAAAAACACAACAACCTCCATCATAACAGTATCTTCCTATCGTTTTTCATTGCAATCAATTAAAAGGCCATGAGACTATCTCATAAGCTCTGTACTTATCTGGGCTGTTATGGGCTCAGAGAGGGCTTAAGTCGTCACTCAAAACGCACTTCCATCCGGAACCGGAAATGAAGAGCTCTTAGGGCCTCTTGAATTACAACATTGAACCGTTGGCCAACAGAATTACAGTTTTTTTGGGGCATGTAGGGTAACCCTAGGGTTAATAGCGACAGGTCAAAGGTAAGAAAGTGAGACCCAGATTTTGTATAGAGTTCTTGGAACGTGGGAAAGCGTTTATTGGCGGTTCATGATGCAAGAAAAAAGCCAAAAGAAAACTTCATAAATTGCACAAGAGTCGCGTTATAACCGCAATCGCTCATTACCACATGGCCAGTCTTCAGGAAGGGGTCAGTCTTGGGGACTGAAGCTGAAAAAGTCAACCACTGCGACTGGACTGCGATGATGATAAATCCCCGAGGGGCATTTGCGTTATTAGTCAAGTGTGGACTATAAAAAGTCAGAGCGTTATGCTACAGTAATGATTCCGTAAAAGAGACTCTGATCTTGGAAAGATCTTGGATCTTTATATAGTTGAGTCTCAAGTTATAGTAGAAGTTTGACTGTAAAAGTCACTCCTCCTCCGTTCCGATCAGATCCAAAACACGAGGAGCACTTAAAAGTGGCTTAATTACGAAAGCCTGGCCTTTTGCACGTACATATGTATGCATTATTTAAAATTTTTAATTACAACAAAAGAGCTTGGAGCTGGCAGCAATAGCCATTTGAGCGGCTTGCGCCTGCGCGCCCCGATTAACCCATGATCGCCATGATTTTGTTGAACTTAGGAGTTAAACTTTTTTTGTCGCATTAAAAATGCTCATAAATGTGCACTGTTTAGGTCCCCTGTTTATAGCATTTTCAGGTCCCTGTCGGACTTTGTTGTTGTTTAAAATTAAATTTTAAATCGACAGCCAGGGGTTAATACTTTAATTTCAATTTGACCCCCCCCACTGACGTCAGCTTAGGTAGAGACTTAGAAGTCTCGGCTGCCAATTACAAATGCAGCTGAAAAGCGGCAACGCATGGCGGGAAAACTGGCAACCATTTACCTGGATTTGTCGGAGGAGGAGGGACGTGGTGGTGGTGCTGGATTGCATATATGCAAGGTGTCGCGGTGTCAACGTTTTTTTTTGCCAAGTTTTAAAGCGAATCTCTGGACTTTGGCTTTCTTCTCTGTAGTGTATAATATATAGTAGTTTGGCTTTGGCAAACTTTTGACTCTGCCACAAACCGATTCGCTTTGTTTGACATTTCTTGAACGTACTCGTAATTACTCGTGCTTGCTTAATATGCAGTCCCAAAGTCCGACTTTCGAGCAGTTTTTCTCAGTTTTTTGAATTTGTGTAATTAACTCTGTACCCTATTTTCTTTCAGGCATAGCCGCTGAGTAGGCCTAGCAGTCCTGAGATGAAGTTGGCCCAAAGCTAACATATGAATATGAGGCCCGAACATCGGATCGAGGAGCATCACTAGTTAGGATATAGAAAATAACACTGTCAGACACTGACATCTGACACCATATCTCATCTTAGGAGCACTATCATCATCATCACAGGAAGCGGAAGCGGAAGCATAGCCATGCAGGTTCCCGAACACATTGTTTCACTTTACATTGCCACCTGTGGCCAAAATGGACCTGGACTGGGTTCCGACGAGAAGGAGATCATACTGATGGTTTTTGTCCTGCTGGAAGTGACCAGTGGACAGGTGAGTTTTCTCGGAAAATTCCGCCATTTTTATACATCTTCTATAGCTCCGCCCACTGACCGCCATTTTGTTTTGATTCGACTCGAATGTCGGCTACGCTTTAATTAATGAATACTGAGGGGCGATAACAGCCGCCAAGTCTCACTCGAGAGCTGTTCATTAAGTTACAGAACCTAAGCCTGAGTGAAAATTAAAAAAATGAAAAGCCCAATATATACCTCTAACTAGTGGGTATTACCTTATTTAGTCTGTATTTACCAAGATCTCTCGTCATTTTTGAACGTTTCTAAATATAAGTACATTATGTTTCGGGGATATCCCTCTTGGGAAGACTGGGAGGAGAATACAATGTATATAGATAGGTATTTGCATATTTTGCCAAGTTTGCCAAGCGTTTGACACTAATTGTTTGGAAAAAATCTCTAAACATCCGAGGTGGCTGAGGGCAGGCCACCACCTATGAGAGCCCTCGCTCGCTTCATGGCATTACGAAATTCCCTCCACGGGGCCCATTAAAGTTATTTGTCAATTTTGTGCCAAAAAGCAAAGTTTTCCAAGAAGACTTTTCAAAAAATGGAAATGATGTAATGCGGTTGGGATAAAGAGCATCCTAAAAAACGGAATTAAAAGTATCTGAAAAAGTATCTGAACATTAATTTCTCAATTTACAATAATGATGCTTTCAATATTATTTGCCCAATACTTTGTGCTATCTCGAGTGCACACAAAACAAGCTATACCTGTGGAATTACGTGGGAGGCTGCGTGTCTAGAGACCTATCCATAAAGATATAGAAACCGACTTAGACTTAGGCACAGGTATAGATATATTAGATGGATGAAGGTTGTTTTCGCACCGGCTGGAAACTATTGAAGGAAATTGCCCGGCCATTAGATATCTGTCTGTCTGTCGGTGATCTGTGTGTACTTTGGGGTCGGGGGCTCTTGACGATATTTGCTGGCATTTGAGAGTCCGAGAGATGTTTGCCTGACATTGTCGCGATTTTATGACGAGCACGCAATATTTTCCTCGTAAGTGCAGCTCCCCTCTGAAAAACTCCCGATCTTAAGTGGCATTTAATGGCCCAGTGGCGACATTGGAGGGCCGCAATTACGAACGTGGGCTTCTAGTATGAGTCGGAGGCGACTTCAAGACTCTAATTCAAGCCCTGACCCCCTGCCATGTAGCAGCTTCCCGCTGCCAAAATTATTATGAATTAATTACCTAAAAGCTTAAACTCCGGCTTCCAGCTAATGGTGGCTTTCGCAAAGCGATGGCCTAGGCCATGCCGTTGAAACCAATTTTTATGCTAATCGCTGCGGTGATTCCCCATCGAAGGTATTATTATATTATTATATTGCTTTTCTCCCGCTATTTTTAGATGGGGTCATGGGGTCAGCAGACGATCGAATTTCTCCAAAATCCTCCAGCAGCCTTTCCTTTAATTTGGAAACCTAATGAGCTATATCATTTGAAACCAGACTTCTGAATAAAATATAATTTATATGGCTGCGATATCTGCGAAATTTATGCTAATAGTTGCGACAAACTATGCTCTATAACAGTATTGCAAACTGGTGGAAAGTGGTATGGAGCCATGCCCCTAAGTCCTCTATATCACGCGGCTATAGCGTGAAACCAACAGATATACTATAGTCTGTATAGGGAATTCTGGAACATTTTTAAAGTCCTAGCTCAAGAGAAATATACTAACTAGTAACTACTTCTAATAATAGTAACATCAACTCGTATTACCATATCAAAGTGTCAGGTAATACCTCATTTAACTCAGTCAGCATGGTCGCAATATTCGAACTATTCTGACAGCAGTGGGCTGGGGGCTTTGGCATTGAAGGCCTACTCCCCACCTGCCTCCCTAATTGGCAGTCTGACGTGCCTCATAATGGCCAATATGCCGCCGATATGCTGACCGATTCTGTCTACCATTCGTCTACCTAATGGAGCCAACTGTGGAAAAGTGGCAGGTGATAAGAAAGTTGATTGACAGAAGAGTTCGCTTCGGAGAGACTTTCCCCAAAAACGGAAACAGACTTTTCCGCTGCACGATTGTTTTCTGATGATCGATCCAATTCTATCGATCGGTGCAATTTCTCTGCAACAGATTTCTTGGGGCAAGTGGAATTGGCTCGATTTTACACTCACTCGCTGGCTTACATACTATACTTACTATATCCATGCAGTGTAATTGGCATGTTAATTACAGGCTAGTTATGACTCGTATGGCAACAATTAAAGTTAATTAACATTCGCAAATCAAGCACAAAAGTCGCCCAAGTGGAGTGCCGAGAGAGGGGGACGCTAGCCAGCTCTCCGGCTCTACTTGAACCAATTAGAACTCTTGGCTTAGATTAATCTCAATCTGTCTAAAGGCAGACTTGTAGTTTAAAAGCAAATACACTTACGATATATATCCAATACTGGCATAATTAGGAGCTTCCTTAACCTCCGGCGTAACCCAAAAATGTGAGTCCAATGAATATAACATGACTTTACGGTGCGATTCTCATGCATATTTCATTTCAAAGGGGGAATCGTAGGAAGCCACATCCCCTCTTCCTTTTAATTTTTTTGTTTCTTTTGGTATTCAAAGGCTATGCAAATCGATTTCAGACGCCATCGGAAAACAAAGAAAACGTATAGGCTTAGGCTCTCTTCTAAAAGCCTACCTCTGATCGTGTGAGGAATTTGCATAGAGCTCATCTACCTGTAGAAAGGCCCCAATCCGATTTAGATTCACCTTTCCTTTTTCCATATCCGTTGACGCAAGCTCTGATTTTTTTATAAAGTCACTGAAGGTTTCCGAAATCCCTGAAATATGTAAGACCTTTAGGGCAGGTGGTCTGTACTATCGTACGAGTGGCTTGTTTTTCAGGGCTACTTTGCAAGTAATGCTGACATTCTATTCCTATTATAATTATACCTAATACTTGGACCCTTTTTAATATTTATTTAAAATTTCTTTCACAGATCGTAGGCACCAAACAAATACTCGTGCGACCCGATGGCTACTTCATCAAGGATCGCACCATATCGAGCTCCTCGGACACCTCGAGTACAACCAACAACACGGCCAGCTCCCCGCCCCTGGCCATTGGGGATGCCACAAATAATGGCAGTGGGAGCAGCCTGGACAACAATAACACGGAGCTGGTGCTCCCAATTGCAGAAGCCCAGGCAGCGGGCAAACCTTTGAGCGAGGCTATCGAAGAGGTGCGCATAATCCAAACAAATCGGATTTAAGTCCATCATGCCCCATCCACACCATAATCAGAGCACGTTGTTCGGGTCGTTTTTGGGTTGTTGGGATTTGGGCTGTTATCAGCCGGATAGCCGGTAACCGTATCCGATAAGATTAGGCCTGCACTACCCACTACTTCGAAATGCACGTGAAGAGTGGGGGTACAAAATAAAAGTACTATTTATGGAAACCACCCTCTCAAAAGTCAAGAGAATGAGTCGTTGTGGGTCCATTTTGGGACTTCACACTTCTGTGACTTATCAATGGGAATCTGGCTATGGGTACACAGGGAAAAAGTAGACTCATCATCATTATGAATGGAAAAACTAAGCATATGTTCAAAGTTTATAATCAGATAGTTATCAGATGGACTGACGGCCTAATTCTTATTCGTTTCCAATCACGTCGAATGTCTAGCTCTCGAAGATCAGTGCGACTTGCCCATAAAAGTGTAACCTTTGCGACTCGCCTCGCCTCCAACTTTTGCCCTCGCCCCTTCCAACGCTTATCGGAGAGACCCTCAGATAAGGGGAACACTTCAGACAAGCCCCCTCCCATGATCGACTCCCATTTCTTTTCAGCTTCGGCTCCAAACCATCTCCCTGGAACATAATATACTGCCACTCGACTTACATTATCGGCAGCACATGCAGATAAAAGATACAAAGATACAGAGATACGAGAGTGCAGGAATTGAGGAAGAGTCAGCTCAGAATGGGTGTTGGGGAACACACCAGGTGAATGCTGCATCTCCGGAAGACCTTTGATTCCGAGCTCAGACCGTGACGCATTGGAAATATCCAGCACAAGCGTGGCATACTAATTGCTTCAGTCAATAGGGTCAATAAAAGCCATTGGAGATCCGGAGAAGCTGCATTCAAAGCGGGTTTGGGATTAGTGATGTCATGCGCTCCGGATTGTGGTCCGGACTCCTTGCACTGAAACGATTTCGATTATCGTGTCCAGGGTGTAATGCGACATTAAGCCGCATGTTGTATTTACTCACCATGACATGGCTGAAACTGTTCACTGTAATTGGCAATAATTGCCGGCAACTAAACGGGTTTAAGCCACTAACGGAATTGGTGCGGCGAACGCGAGTCTACTTTTCTGTCCTCTCTCTCGTCAGATTGGAATGTTTGGGGTATTTTTCCTTGGTGACAGATGTTCGACCTTTGACTCGCTACCATCCCGACGCGATAATATCTTGAATAATTAATAAGGTAAAGCTCATTTTCAGTTTGATGCCTACCTTCGCTCCCTTTCGCTCCACGACACTGAGATCAAGCTGGTTACGGACGGCCAGTTGCCGCTGAGGCAGTGCCTCCATCGGGAGGCCAGTGCCAAGGATCTGGAGCTGCCGACCTACTACAACCGCTTCAGCGATCTCCGCAAGGAGTTTCTGCGCTACAAGTCCGGCGATCTGGCGCATGCCCTTGTGCCCGTCAAGGATGCCAAGAAGATGCTGCAGGCGCCATCGCTGCCAGTGCCGCAGTCCATCGCAGAGATGTTGGGTGGTGAGTCCTGGGTCATGTCCTAAGATTCCTTTAGATAATTTGTGTTTCTCTCCAAGAACTCAATACCTCATCGGTGGAGGATAAAGACTTTTACATACGCGAATCTCGCGACATGGTTACTGTGATCCAGGCCCTGCTTCAAGCAGGTAAGTACCAACCAATCTCCTCCTAAGTGTTGGACTTAACACGATTATCCTGCAGGTCACACTTTTGCTGCAAACGAGTTGGTCAACCTGGTACTGGAACCTGGAATTTGGTGAGTACTCCCTACATCGAACCCCAACGAACTAGTTCTCTGTAAACCGAGCCCCAAACCCAAACCCAACATACACTCCAATCCAAACTCGGCGCTACTCAAGCCCCACTCTCAGCTGATCCAAGCACTATTTCAGTTGAAAAAAAACTCACTCAGAAAACCCATAAAGAATCCACTGAAAGACGGCACACGAAGTGGCCAAATTCGAGCTGGGAGCGCCGCGTCGCTCACGTCAGTCGACATTTGGATTGGGAGGCGATAAGAGCTCGGGAGCGTCTTTCTAAATGGGGATCGTCTCTGGATCGAACTAAAGTATCGGGTGGCATCGTAACGGATCGGTAGGGCTCTGTGGTTATCGCCCGGATCGTATTGGAAAATTTCAACTACCTAAGCTTGCCAGCCTGCCTGCCTGAGGTCTGTTTCAGACCAATCACTATAAAATATTCAATTAACACAGAGAGGTAACCCTTCTACGATGAGTATACGACGTTACTGAAAACTCCTTTCTGTCCGTCCGGCTGCCAAGTTGGATTATTCATGTTTTTTTAGTCGTTTTCGGGTTTTGTTCGTATTTTTTACTGGCCCATTTATGCATGACATTCTGTTCGAGCTCTCGAGTGTGTGTCGTTTGTGTATTGGGAGAGTCAGCAGAAATATTTATGCGACTTACTTGGTAATCGACAAGAACTCTGGCTGCACATCGCAGAACGTGACTGCGACGCCGTTTTGTGCCCCATCACGTGTTGCATAACAGCTCCTTGGGGAGGAGAGCTTTTAATGATTTTCCTTTAACCGATTCCCGTTTAACTCCACTTGCAGCTCAATTGACGACGAGATCGACGGCAACTGCATTGTTCGTGCCAGAGGCTTACCCTGGCAGAGCAGCGACCAGGACATCGCCAAGTTCTTTTGCGGCCTCAACGTAGCCAAGTAAGTGATGAGTGCAACCCATTGATAAGCCGGATCAGTGGGGTCAGCTCGTCGTTGATTACACAGCGACCCACTTTATCTTCTGATAACCGCTCCCCCTCTCCTCCTCCCCTTCTTCTAGGGGCGGCGTTGCTCTCTGTCTTTCTCCGCTGGGGCGACGCAACGGCGAAGCCCTCATCCGTTTCATATCCCAGGAGCACCGCGACATGGCTCTGAAACGGCACAAGCATCACATCGGTACCCGATATATCGAGGTGTACCGGGCCTCGGGTGAGGACTTCCTGGCCATCGCCGGCGGTGCATCGAACGAGGCGCAGGCGTTTCTTTCCAAGGGAGCCCAGGTGATCATCCGAATGCGGGGTCTACCCTACGACTGCACCGCCAAACAAGTGGTAAGACGCGATCCCAGACTTCGAGAGCTCTCTTAATCATGAACGTCCACTCCACTTGTTTCCCTAGCTGGACTTCTTCACCACTGGGGATACGGCACCCTGCCATGTACTGGATGGGAATGAGGGCGTGCTGTTTGTAAAGAAACCGGATGGACGAGCAACCGGAGACGCCTTTGTTCTGTTTGCCCATGAGTCGGATGCTGCCAAGGCGCTGGGCCGGCACCGGGAGTCCATAGGACAGAGGTATATCGAGCTCTTCCGCTCCACAACCGCCGAGGTACAGCAGGTGCTTAACCGCTCCATGGACCCGAAGAACTATGAGTCGGGCGGCAACCACAGCCAGCCACCGCTGATTGCTCAGCTGCCGACCATGCAGCTACCACTGCTGCCGCAGGTGGGTGCCATACACGGCCTACCCACTCACAGCTTCCGCTAACCTATCCCCTTCCACAGCATCTCATCACCTCGGGCACCACAAGGAACTGCATCCGACTGCGAGGACTGCCCTACGAGGCGATGGTGGAGCACATACTTCACTTCCTGGATGGGTTTGCCAAGCACATAATATACCAGGGTGTTCATATGGTGATCAACGCACAGGTGAGTGTTCCAGTCTGGTATTTAACTGGGCTTACTAAACTACGAAACTTTCAGGGCCAACCCAGTGGAGAGGCCTTCATCCAAATGGACACGGAGGACTCGGCCCGGTTGTGCGCCCAGCGCAAGCACAACCAGTTTATGGTCTTTGGCAAGAAGTTCCGCTATATTGAGGTGTTCCAGTGCTCTGGTGACGACATGAACATGGTCCTCAATGGCGGTCTCACCTCGCCAGTGGCCCAACCACCGCCCCCGCACCATGGCCATGCCCATTCGCACGCCCACAAGCAGCCCTCGCTGCTGGCTGCGGCCACCTCGGGTATGTTCAGTTCGGCGGGTCAATCGGCAACGGCCTCCGCTGGCACTGCCACCCAGTCGCCGATCGGCGGCACCCACTCCCACACACAATCACACCCCCCACAACATCCACACTCGCATGTTCCGGGCCACGCCCCCGCTCACACCCTGCCCGCCTCTTCGGCGGCCATTATGCCGAATCTCTCGGCTGCCTCGGCCAGCGGACTGGCCTCCTTTATGGCCAGTCAGCCAGCGGCTGCTCATTCGGCTGCAGTGACCCTAGCCCCGCCGGGCTACTCCCTGAATCCCTTTTCGCTACCGCCGCCGGGATCATCGCCCGCGAGTGCTGCCGCCGCTGCAGCAGCAGCTGCAGCTGCCACGCCGGCCTTGTTGGCACAGCAGCAGGCACAGTTTATAGCCCAGCAGAGCCTCCTGGTGAGGCAACAGGCTGCCGCTGCCGCCCTGGCCGCCGAGCAGCAGCAGCAGGTGCAGCAGCAGCAACAGCTCTACGCCAGTGCTATGTTCCAGCAGCATCCGTTGTACCTGCAACAGCAGCAGCAGCAACAGCTCTACGCCAGCGCCATGTTGCAACAGGGTCAGCCGCAATTTGTTCTTATGCAGAGGCCCTCGGCTTCCTACTTGCCGCCCTTTCCGCTCAGCTACATGCCCACCGCTGCAGCGGGGGCGGGAGTGGGCGTGTCCCCAGCCGGAGCATCAGTTGCCGGGGCCAGTGCAGCGGCAGCAGCTGCAGCGGCCGCGGCCACTCCCGCCAGCAACTCGTCGATGAAAAGGTCGTACGAGAACGCATTCCAGCAGGATGCGACGGGCGCGGCGGCCGTGGCTGCCAGTGCGGCAAAAAGAGCCCTAACCCGAAATCCCAGTAGTGTCTACTCCTACTACAATCCGGGAATTTAGATATTCGCATAACATTTATTCACTTTGAAAGCATTTAAAAGCCAACTCCAACTTCGGCCACATTCCGAGAGTGGGTGGGGGGGTGGTGTTGAAATAATAATACATGCGCACACATACATTTAACCGTCTCATGTACACACACTCACATACCACACACACACACAAACCGCATACCAGACATTTTTAGAGCTTAATTTTTTACCAATTTGGAATGTAGACTTAAGTACTTTTCTTGTATGGAGTACTCGTAGTAGGCTAAGAATATTTGTCTATGGTCTAAGAGAAGAATACGATATATGACACTCCCCACACCCACGAAGGCACACACTCACCCGCATAAGCACTGATCACCCATACATTAGCATAAGTACACCCGGCTAACAATGTGGGGGATATAGGATGCGCCTATATCGGATTTAATTGCATTTTTTTTGTCAGAAAAGCTTGGAGTGTGAGTGCACCTGCGTGGGTGTGGGCGTGTATAGAGCGAAAGGGGATCTACATTTATATATATAACCGATCTGTAACCCCTTTGGCTCACCGACTCGAAGGCAATCAACAGAGGCTAACGTCGTTCATGGAGGGAGTGAGAGCTAGAGATACGATGTTGGGCCACCGCCCATTCAGTGCAATCTAATTTTAATGGTACCCTTTGGTTACCACACCCCCCAATTCGCCGGAATCCAATCCGCCCACTCCCTCCTCCCCCCATGAACGGCGTCAGGTGTTGGCTCAGCGCAAATTTTGAGAAGAACTTGAAATCGAAAACCGAATCCGATAGCTATATAGCTATGGAGCGAATATAAACAAGTTATCGTGTTCTGTAAGACAAACACTTCTTTTTTGGAATAACCATAATAGTCGATGGGTGGAGTTGTGTGCCGATCGAGATATATACATACATATATAAACACTACATACTATATAAAATACCAATATACACTAGCTTTTAAGATCGTACGATTGTAAAATGGGTTCGCATATTAATCCACTCGGCAATCTTTTCCCGTGTCTCTCCATGGCAGCTAACACCAATCAAAATACTTAATACAATAATTAATTAATAATAATCTCATCGTTTTGACTTGCAATACCGTACAATACACCCTATAAATAGTACCTAGATGTCTATGGTGTAGCTCTTAAGTGTGGCTCGTAACTGGTGTTAGTCGCAACCGGGGTCTATCACTATTATAATTCCTCTGAAACTCTTCAACTTTAAATGCCGCCACCTGTTTTTATGTGTGTGTTCTCTGTCATCACTAATTAAGTTCGGGATTTCGACTAAGTGCATATCGGATGATAACTGGTTAATGGTGACTCGGGCTTACATATACGTATACCACCTGCAATATGCTTTATTATCAGTAAGGCTGTCCTAACTCTATGTCATTTATCTATTATTATTTAAAAAAAGAGATCGGACTCTTACTTTCTTTGAGTTTTTAAAACAAAAATTTCGATTCAATCCCCCAATCTTTAAACCTTCTCTAGCTGCGTCTAACACTGAGTTCTGCCCCAACTTGATATACTACTGAGCAAGTCCTGGCGAGCTCCATGGGAAAGTATCGCCTAGCGCCTTAGCCTAATCCTTAGTATAATTTAACCCATAGTGTTAGTTTGTTATTGCCAATCGAGTGGCTTCCAAACGGGTTTTGCGGCCACTTTAAACCAGCGACAAACAGTAATATCTACTTAACTAGTTATAGTACGCACATCAGTTTTTAATGTTTTTTTCTTTGGAAATTACAATTTTTGATATTCCATTCTTTTTACCACTAGATGTTTAGCAAAACAAATTTTTGATTAATTTTTTACATCAATAAAATACGACATTACCGCCTACCTCTCCCCTCTCTCTCTCTCTCTCTGTCTCTCTTACTCTATCATCATCTCTTTCGCTCTGTGTGTTACCCAAAGAGTAGAGGCCCAAAAGATCTACAGACCTACTAATAACACCCTTCATGAGAATCATTTGGGTATAAACCTTATTAACCACTCCTTGTCTCTACCCAGCCCCGTATCCCTAATCCCTCGTCCTCGTCCTTAGCCCTGTCTCTCACCACCCGCCCATTAAAATGGAACACCTTATATGTATGTACATGTAACTCTGGGGTATCGGGCTTGGGCTTAGCTTTATAATCGATCGCGATCGCGTTTTCAGCGGGATCAACCAAAAGCCGAGCTGCTGGGAGTGGATTGTGCGGAGTTTGTTTGGTTTTCTGTTTCCGTCACTATGCTCTAGCTACATTATAAATATATACTACTACTACCTAGTAACCCTAAGTGGAGTGTCCATCATGATCTCGTACTAGTCATATAGACGCATCTTGTATGTAACTCGGCGATGTCTGAACGGTTCTTCGGTGGCCTCTCGAGGCCTGGTGCTTGGATTATATCAAAATTAATATCAAAAATCGAATCTCAAAATTCTCAAAAACAAACAACAAATCGGCAAAAAAAAACATATTCCAAAATTTGTAATCGTTTTTGTGCGCAACTGTTTCCATGGTATCTGGGTGGTAAGGTGGTAAGATACTCGTTCCAACCAAAAAATACAAAGTACCAAGTATTTATGTCTTTCCTACCATTTGCAATGTCTAAAACGGTGAGTGATTTGAATACGATTTTACCTCCAGCTAACCCCCTGACTAACCAACCACTAGCCACTATCTTACGGATGTAAGATCTCACACTAATCTACTAACATAATGCAATGACCGACCTCTTGAGATGATTTGCGGATGTGATCGACTATATAACACGGGACAAACTGAAACTATACATCTTGTACAAAGTCTCTCCACCCAAAAATATATTTTTAACAGCGATGCCATACTCACAACACTTGTACCCCCCAGAATTCTGAAAATAATCTCTGTGTACCCGAACTATATCTGACGACCTTATAGCTTAGACTTCTGTGATTAATTCTATGTATTTTGCCTTCGAACAGGTGCTGCTCTACTGGGCGCCCACTTTGGGGCCCCGTACCCTGCCTTTGGAGGGGCTCCTCCACCACCACGTTCGCACCACCTGCCGCATCACCCCCACCATCCGGCGTCCGCTTTTTACCCACCGCCGCTGGTGTACTGGCCGTACCCGAGTCCTCCCGTCTCCCCGACCACCTACTACACCCAGCCGGGGGCGCACTCGCCCTCACAGCCCTTGGTAAGATTGAGATCTCATCCTTTTGAGTTCCATAACTTGATACTCTGTTTCATGCAGTACCCGGTGGACTTCTTCCCGCCCTCTCCGCTGTCGCCCCCCAGTGTGGCCATTCCGCATACCAGCACCGGCCTGATACTCACGCCCACTAAGGCAGCTGTGTCCTTTGTGCCGTCAAAGCAGTTCTCACCCACCACATCGGCGGGCAGTGGAAACACTAGCTCCAACTCCAGTTCCACCTCCAGCTGCAGTTCTGGCTCCGGAAAGTTTCCCCTTCCGATGTTGCCAGCCATCACCCTGAACGGATCGGTGGAGAATGCCACGCCCAAAGCCCCGACACCCACGCAGACGGGAGCTCATGGACAAGAGGCCTCTACCACATCGTCAAAGTGCCTTCTTAGCATAGACACAAACCACGGGACGGCATCCACCGGCGCTGGAGTGCCCCCGCTAAAGACCGGAAGTCAAGGGGCGGGAGGTGCGGCTGCCACGCCTCTTGTGAGCAACTCTTGCGTGGAGCTATTTATATCATAGAGCTGATGCGGAAGCGAAGCTTAATGTCTTGCCAATCGAAGAAAGCAAACCATTGCCTAGACGAGAACCCATGGCGAAAATGGCGAGGAGCTAGCCGAGTCTCCAACACGTGTGGGTGGATTGCGTTGACGGCGAATTCGCGATGCGGCGAAAATCGAACGAAACGAAGGAATCTCCCCGCCGTCTCATGAATTTCTATATCCTCCCCCCCTATACTACTTATGTATGTCGTCCTTTAAGGCTAAGTTAGTGCCCCAGTGCAGTCCATTCGACGTCTTATTTATTCAGTTGCTGCATTAAATCCAAATATACACATTAGCCAATTAGCGAAGTGAAGAGAGCGCAAAGAAATCGACAAATTTATCCCTAGTCAATAGTCAAATTATTTATACAACTATTTTTTATGCATATATGTGTGTATGTACTTGTAGCTGGATGTTAATGTTATTAAAAACAGCCAATCAGTCAGCGCGCCTATCCTGTATCCCTAGGATTATATCCATTTTTGAATATTGTTATTCCCTTGTGCACGCAACCTGCAACCTGCAACCTGCAACATGCAACGTTACAGTTGTTGCACCCAATCGTTTGCAATAAAAAGATATTATCAGTTGTTTTTTGATAAATAAACGCATATATTTAATATATCAAATTGAAATCATCGAACTGGTTAACAATCTGTATCATTTATTTGGATGCGGGCTTAACAAATTCACTTTGATCCGGATGCCATTACGAATCAATTAATGCAACTATCTCCGATAGACAGTCCAGATGCGGATGTCCTATATATATGTATATCTCCATCATAAATAATCCGCTAGCCGGATGATAAATCGCTGACAAATGGCGTTACAAACGGACGAAAGTCCCACCGACCCGTTCAAAGGACACGGTCGTTGTGAACCATCATCCGGTCGCACCGTACCATTACCGTAACATACATTTAAAATAGATTAAAACCCATCTGGTGGGCAGGTGCAGTTCTGCAGGATCTAGTTAGTTCTATGCTGCACCTGCCAGCCGCATCCGATGCTGTTGGTCCTCCTGCTCGCATGATAATTTATCAAGGACCGGCGCCACCGCTGCAGTGGACATCCTTTGGACTTCCTGGTGGGGAATCGGAGCCTATCAAAAGCACATTAGGTGTGCCGCTGCTCCGTTGACAAGTTGGCCTGCGAACAAGTAAATGAAAAATGTTGGTTAATGCGCCAAGGCCAAAAAAAATAAAGAAAGAATTTTTAGAGTATCCCCCCAGCCCCCATCTCGGTTTTTGTTTTTTATGGTTGCACACTTGACTTAACAACGCCCTGTGCACTTCCTCTAATGGCACGGAAATGGCCGTATAAATCTCATTTGTAATCGCCGAGCGAAAAACCATCGCCAGACAACGCCTAAAGTAGGCAACCCAATAATGGAGAAGTTGCAAAACTTTGCGGCGCTGTCACTCGAAACTAAGTCAATAAAAAATATCCCTGTCCCCCCATCCGCTATATGGTGCACCGCCCAGTAGTCCCTATGTCTCTGGGTGCAGTACCGATTTCATTGGGATTGCAATAACAAGACCGTCGATTGGCGGCGGCATATTTTCGACGACTTAGCAACTGTCGTCGCCGCTGGCAGGGACCTCTTCCGTTTTGGTATTAAGCCATTGAAACTTTTATTGATTTAGGGGATTTCGTTGCGTTCCAGCGAGCATTTCAGTTGACAGTCTCTTGCCAGGCAGCCACTATATATTCTAGTCGAAGGGAATCACTTTGCATGGCTCCCATAGAAACTCCATCTATAAAAATAATTTCTCTGTATGATGTTTTATCGGATGAGAATTGGCCAAGATATGGCCTTCCAAAGAGGGCTCATTTGGGAATCCCACATTTTGATGGGGTCTCCCCAGGAAAAAATTGAAAAAAAATCGAAAAAATATTTTGTTCTCGGATTTTGATGCAGATTGACGGGGAATCGGCCCACAAATCGATTAAGGTAATCCTGCCAAGAATCGGACAAGTATTGGCCAAGATATGGCCTTCCCAAGGGGGCTCGTTTGGGAATCCTACATTTTGAAGGGGTCTCCCCAGGAAAAATTGGAAAAAAATCGAAAAAATATTTTGTTCTCGGATTTTGATGCAAATTGGCGTGGAATCGCCCCACAAATCGATCAGAAAATTCCTTCCAAGAATCGGATGAGAATTGGCCAAGATATGACCTTCCAAAGAGGGCTCATTTGGGAATCCCACATTTTGAAGGGGTCTCCCCAGGAAAAAATTGGAAAAAAATCGAAAAAATATTTTGTTCTCGGATTTTGATGCAGATTGACGGGGAATCGCCCCACAAATCGATTAAGGTATTCCTTTCGTGAATCGGGCAAGAATTTGCCAAGATATGGCCTTCCAAAGGGGGCTCATTTGGAAATCCCACATTTTGATGGGCTCTCCCCAGGAAAAATTGGAAAAAAATCGAAAAAATATTTTGTTCTCGGATTTTGATGCAGATTGACGGGGAATCGCCCCACAAATCGATTAAGCTATTCCTTCCGTGAATCGGACAAGTATTGGCCAAGATATGACCTTCCCAAGGGGGCTCATTTGGGAATTCCACATTTTGAAGGGGTCTCCCCAGGAAAAATCTCTCTGTTTTAATTTCCATTACCCTAAAAACCATTCGTTTGTTAAATCCTGTTTGTGTTTCCAGGCACAGCAAAGTCTTTACAACACCTGGCCAGCAATTTTTCAGCAAATATTTGACCAAGAGGTCCTCCCGTCCCATCGTTCCTGAACCTTTCCCATTGTGCCTCCTCGTCGCTTGTTGTCTGGCGCAACAAAAAATCAATTTCAAGCACATTACCAGCCTGGCAACTTGATTTTATTATTTACTCGTATTTGCCGTTTGACAGATTCGCTTGGCTGCCCTCAAAATTTCAAGCGTCCTCACTCACATTTTGGCCAAATCGTGGCAGAACCCGGCCCCCAAAAGCCAAAGCCAAATCCGTGCAGGAGCAGCAGAGGGCGGAGAACGGAGGCGGAGCCGCCTTTAAAATTGCCCAAGGGGGCTCGTCGGGTAGAATGACTGCAGTGCGCCTTTCGCCAAGGAGCAAGGATACAAGTAAATCGAAATAATAAGAAAGAACAAGCTGGAGGAAAAAAGAAAAAAACCCTGAAATCCATGTATGTTTGCTCACAAATCTTGGGCAAATAAAGCAGGAAAATTCACCAGGGGAGGGTGCGGCAGGATGTATGTAAGTGCGGCAGGATTTTACGTTTTCATTAGAGGACTGTCTCGGGGAATCCTTGCCCGCCCGAGATCCCCAAGTTTACAGCAACTTTATCCTATTTTACAAACTACTTTAGGCAATTGATTGTGTGCGAATGTGACTGTGTTGGAGTCTGCATCTGCGCTGGTATTTGTATCTGTGTATCGGTGGGGTAGGTGAGTCTGGGTGTATCTGTATCTCTGCGAGTGCTAAAAGGTGCCGGCAACTGAGCCAACGCTTTTTGATGTCTCTGCTGTATGCTTTTTTATTTTTTTTTTCCGATTTTTTTTATGTCTTGCTCCTCCTTGCTCTCTTACACGATTTCATTTACTTTGTGCAGGCACAAAGCCTAAGCACTCTGTACTCTGGGTGGTACATGGCCATGGTGTGCGTGTATAGGTGTGGGTGTGAATTGCTGCTGCCTGTGAGTGTGAGTGAGTATCTGTGTGTGGCTCGGAGGCAATGAAGTGCATTTGAAGCGCACTTGATGCACGTACAGCACGCAGCGCCTTTTTAGACGTATTGTAAATGACTGCAGTGGAGAAGGGGCAGCGTGGTTCGTTAGTTTTACACACACACACACAAAGCAGAGACAGGAAGTGAGGTTGTGTGTGTATGTGTGGGCGTCTGTTTGATAAGTGGCAGCAATTTTTTTTTTTTGCCCCCTCAGCTCTTTTATATTTTTTCTTCCCACATCTGAGACTTTTTTTCTGCTCCGGCTGACACTACGTCATCTTCAGTATCCTTCGCTCGCCCCCCCATGGCCCCCCTCTTCGTCCTGCAACGCGAGCCACTAATGAAATTGTTAATTTTTGTTAGCAAAGTCACGTACACGATGTGTTGATGACGCTGAAGAGCTAGAGACGCCGCCATTGCCGCCACTGTCGCTGCCAACGCCACTGGCAATTGGCACAGGCCAAGGAGCATATCATACATACGGGAGAGGGCTGGGGGCTCTGGAGGAGGTCCTGGAGGTGATGGCAAGGATTTTCCACCACTCATAAGTTAAATGGCCCTTGTAGTTTTTATGGCCGCCTCTTCGACAATTTGCTGCTGGTTGGCATATTTATGAGCAACAGTTTTCCATTAGCATTCGATTACTACTCGGCGCATAGAATCGAGTATGTATCTCTTTGGAACTTGTTTCAGTGATTTGTTCGTTGCTGCAGTCACTAGACACTATACCCTAGACACACACACACACACACTTCCATTCGCACTCACACACAGATGTTGCACGTGCAACATACCGAAACAGAAAAGACATCAACAGCCAAAAAGCGAAAAAGTCGCATTGCAGCAATTTCTGTTACGCTATGCCAACTGCTGCCAAAAAGAAGGTCCTGGCAGGACTGCCCATTAATACCGTTTACCTCTCCCCGCCTGCCAGCATTTCCTTTATGTTCGGTTGCCTGGCACGTAGCCATTGCAATTGTTGTTCGTGTTACGTATACGTATTACGTATACGCCAAGTATGCCCCGCTAGCTAGCTGGCAGGCTGGCTTGCGGACTGGCTGGCTGCTTGCCTGACTTGGCTGGTTGGTTGCCTGTTTCGCTTCAGCTCGCTCGCAGCTGAGTTTCGGTTTGCATTCTGTTGGCCTGCCATTTCGTTACTCACATTGTACTTTACTCTTCCAGCTGCTTCAGCTCCTGCACCGTTTTTATTTCATTCTTTTTATATTTGAAGCCATTGTGTTTTCGCACAAGTGCAGAACGATACAAAACTAAAGGCGCAATGTGGCCAGCCAGCCAGGATTCCTTTTTTTGTTCTAGCCATTTTGTGCCGTGTAGCTGGAGCTGGTGGTGGAGCTGGAGCTGGGGCTTTCTTGCCCGTTGCGTTTTGCATAAATTAGAATGCATGGAATTTCATTGCAGAGCAGCAGGAACCGCAACAACAATTAAGTGAGATTTGTGGCGTAGCATATGAGGGCGGTGAAATTTGAATTTTTATGGCGCAAGGATTACAGATGTCGACGTCTTGGTTGGATGCCATCGCCATCAACGCCATCACTTTTCGCTTTTTCAATTTGCAATCCCAGCCACTACCACTTGGCATTTGTTCTCCTGGCTAAATCTTCGGCACCCCTGCCGTATACGTAATCTGTTTAAATACACAATAAATAATGGCGTATGGGGGAATTTGCATAAAAAGCCCGAACCGGAACAATGTGCGATACAGGACACAGGGACACAGGGCGGAAAACCCGGATGGGGATGTAGCGGCGGGGCGGGGCCTCACGTATTTTTCGGGGCAATCATGAGCATGCCATAATGCTTGTGACCACGACTATTAAATCAACACGCGGCGCCATGGCCAAAAGCATTGGCCCAAATGGCAAAACGCTGCTGCCAACAATGCTGCTGCCACACACAAACTCTTACAAACTCAAAGCCAAACAACACACGAACACACACACAC